GCGGGCTAGGAAAGCCTTTGCGCTGCCCTGCGACCGGGGAACTTGGGCAATTCAATTGCATAACATGAATAGAAATGAATTGGCAGGCTCGGAGAGCTGGCTTTTGCGGCTGCCCAGCGGAACTAGTTCCACGAATGGATTTGCATATCCGGAAGTGGAGTGCTGGGCACTGCCCGAAACAATCTCAAAGAATACTCACCAATGCACTGCAACTGCAACTGCAACTGCCAGTCATATCACACTGCATAGTAGATAAAGTTAGAGTTGAGTAAATTAGATTAGACTCCAGAGCACTTAATACTTTTAATTAATTACTTATTGTTCATGTTATTCTAGCTTCCGCCGACTACTGCACAGCTCCACATTAAAGCACGGATTCGAGCAGAACTTTAAAAAGTAAATTCTTGGGGCAGCCCAGAACGATTTTCACACTCGATTAGCTGCATTTGTGCACGTGCCAAACCAAACTCGAATAATACTCAACAGCGACGGCAAGCCGGGAAAATAAAACAACACAAAAATGGGGGGAAAATGCCAGAGAAAAACAGGAGAAAAATTACAATAAACGTTAGATTTTCATTATAAGCAAAGGGAATCCGGGCTGCGTGCGTGTGTGTGTGTGTGTGTTGTGCTTCAAGAAAACGTTGCCTACTTTGCAGCGCACACTGCGAAATGGAAAGTTAAGCACTTGAGACGACGACAAAGGGGCTTTCCAAGGGGTGGATGTGAGTAACCGGCACCCCTTTGCCAAATCGCACAAAACACGACCCCCTTTCACTGAGCCCATTGTTTGGGTTCGGTATATTCGCTTTTTTTCTCTGCACTGAGCTGCACACAATAATGAAAATGTTGTTGTTTGTTAAATTCCAACAGCCGTTGCTAGAACACACTTCAGCGCTCACACACACACGCACACACACACGTAAAACGCAGCCACCCAGACACATACTCACACATACATATGCACGCGGCTACATTGCATTACTTCCGCCTCAATGGTAATAATTTTAAAATCAATACAATTCAATAAAGTTTTATTACTAACGCTGACAAGGGTGGCGAGCTGCCTCTTTCATTTTTCCGCAGAATCCAGCGAGTGTGGCATGCTTGGGGAATTGGTTGGGTTAAGTCCGCCGAGCGATTAACCCTCGACTGCCGGCGCACAGAGGAGGAGCTCCACCTGCTCCTGTCGCCGCGTCGAAATTGCTGGCAATTAGAATACGTTTTATAAGCAAATTGCCAGCGAACTTATGCGTCAAAGTCCAACGCCCATTTGTATGCAAATGGCGCGCAGGCACTTGGCAAAAAACTTATCTTATTACTTCAATAATTGATAGAGAAAATGTTCAGCTTTGAGAAGGAGGTTCTCTGAATATTTGGTTTTTCCAAAGATTAAATACTCATCCAATAATTTGACTTATTTAAATCTACAAAAATATTATAGTTAGTACCTTTTACGAAAGTTATTGTAAAACATTTTGAAGTTATCCTTTAGAGCAAAAATGGAAATAATGGCATGCAAAAATATGTTGTTAGAGTTCTAGTTATTAAGTTATTTGGTAAGTCACCAATTAAAATTCTTACATTTAGTTTTAAAATTGTTCGTAGGCTAACATATGTTCCAGTATATGTGTGAGTCCTGCCACGATTTTCCCGGATTTCTTTGGCAGTGCAGGTCAGCGGCTGTCGCAGGCTCCCAGCCACTTTCCCTCCTGATGAATCAAAGTCATAACGTGGCTCAAAAGGCCCGCCCCGCCCCCTCCTCCTTTCTCGACGGTTACGCATCGTTATGCACAGCGGCAGCGGATGACTGTTATTAAAATCAGTTGTTCGGGGGTACTGTCTTCTTTTGGCCAGACAGACATGGATGGAGATGGGCTGGATGGATAGCCCGAGCAGGGGAAGGATTTGGAGGGGGATTTGGCACAGCTGTGCCAGCTCCAACTTCATTATAAGCCGCGGGGCGGGGGACAGTGCGACGCATTCGTTTAATGTCTTAATTCTGCACTCAGCCAAGTGAAAAATTAAAATGGTGTGGCTCCTTTGTTGGGGCTGAATCCTCATCAGTAACAGCAGCCGGCCAGGTGAAACGAGCTCCTTTTTTTTTTGTTTTTTGAGGGGCACAGCGGTCATAAGTCTAATGTGTGCCTTGTTTAAATATTAATAAAGTCCGTGGAGTGGCCTTAGCCACAAATTGTTAAATTGAAGCTAATAAAATTTGGCTATTACGCGTGGCCAGTGTCCATTTTATGGGCCACAAATTTCATGGCGATTAACTGTGATGGCGGTGCATGCATCAAAACCCCCAGGCCCCCAGCCCCCAAAACCACCGGTTCGCCTTCATTGCGTAATTGTGGCCAAACACTTTGGGGCGAAGGCACAATGAAGCTTGAAAATGTTTCTAAAAAAGATGCGGCAAAAAACTGAAATGAAATAAAGTAAAAATTAAAGCGCGCAAAATGCAAATGTGCGGTGGGGGAGGCGCTGGGAATGGGGGCGTGGCTGTTTGGCTGATGTGCGGTGGGCGGTTGGCTCAGCGAAGCGTTTGTGCAAATTATGGTTTAACACCTCATTGAACTCGCTGGCTGCCAGGATGCCAGGATGCCAGAATACCAGGATGCCAAGGGGAGAAGCTAGAGCTGCGAAAATTTGAATTTGAATATGAATTTCATATTCAAATGAGTTTTCAAAGACTTTATGCGGCGCCAAGCTGGGAATACAGTTAATTATATAAAAATTATGGCTTATTGTTTCCATTTCTGCCTTGCCCAAAATATGCAAATTGGCCACACAAAATGCCATTTAATTTGAGACCAGATCAAAGTTAGTACAGCTAAGCCGGATGAAAAGTACTGCCTATATTAAATCGAAGGGCTTCAGCAACCGAGCCACTAATTGGGAAATTAAAAGGGGCTGTATTATATTCCTAGGTAATCAACGCAATCACAAAAAACATAAAAGGCAAAATTATAACAGCTCATGTATGCTTTCAGAAAGGCTTTTCTCTAACAGCATTTCGAATATGATATCTATTTAGCAGTAATTTAATTTCAATACTATTTCCCCGTAGATTAATCCATCGATTAATGAGAAAAGGGCTTAGGCCACGCCCACTCACTTTCTGAGCAATTGTTTTGCGGTTGGTGTGCATATGTAAAACCTAATTACAACTAATTAGTATTTGCACAAGTGACAACCTTTGACCCAATGTAAACAATGGCGGACAACAACACTGTGCGGCGGGCAGTCAACAAGCCAAACAAAACCGATTTGACCAGCAGGAGCCGAAGGAGCAGCAGCAGCAGGAGGGGAAGGGGCAGGAGCAGGAGCAGTAGCAGGAGCAGGAGCGGCATGACCAAATGCAAATAAACAAAACGCTTTGATTAGAAAATTTCATTACACCAAATCGAACGTTTGCCAATGGCACACACACACATGTGCACATACACACACACACGCACACACACACACAAATGCAAATACAATCAGTGCCAGAGCAAACAAATAAATGCACAAAGGGGCAAATTCGGGCCGAATGCAGCCGGCCAAATGCATCAGTTCATTAAAATGCCAATGCCCCTTGCCAAAGTCCTCCACTTGCAGCATCCGTTCAGTTTCATTTGAAAAACGCAATTTAATAACGACTGCAAATGAGCAACGCTTTGCCCAGCACTCACACACCCACTCCCACTACCCATCGGTGTCCTGGACAAGGTCCTGTTCCTCGTCCTTTCGAAATCCTGCACTTTGCCCAATGCCCAATGTGTGTCCTGCGTTTGTGTCAAATTTTACGGCCCACAGGCACATATCAAATGAGATCGACAGGCCCGTTCTCAGCTATTGTGCATATGTGTGCACGGGTGCACTGCGAGAAATGCATTGGGTTTGGCATGACAAAATAAAACTAATAGCAAGTATTGGTGGTAATGAATATATATTGTTATTTCGCCCATTGGCCGAATTTGTTTATACATTAGTGAATTATATTTTTCAACATTTTTCGCTGTGTGTGCCTGCACAAAACTGTTGCAGTTGCCAGCTGCACTGTGGACCCAACTCAATTTATTAATGCACCCGCACACCCGACCTACGGATGCAGCGCTGCTAAGTCGCTGGGATTGCATTCACTAGGATAATTAGGGAAGTGGCATCACCATGGGAGCAAATGGCGGCTTATCGCCGGGAAAAAGGGGTGTGATTCCAATTTGCAGCTCCTTGGAGGCTTCGGGCAAAATCACGGCTTAGATTTGGCTGGCCCAGAGGACGAAGGATAAGGCATATTTGATGGGTCGCCGCACCAGGTGGCCGCAAATATTTTAACACTCAATTAAAACAGCAATGCAAATAATTGCAGCGCATTTAAAGGCTATCTGCACACACACACGCATTTAATACATTTTTGTGGTAATGGCAGCAAATTAAGCGGAAATTACATGGCCAGCGAGATATCGATACTTGCCGCGTGGCAGTGGCAGGCAGTGGTACGTGCCGCGATGCACGTTGCTCAAATGATGCTGATTTATATATAATTTCTGTGTAATTTCATTAAGAAATGCAAATTGCACATTAAATGCAATAAATATTGATAAATGAATGTGCACCATTTGCGGGAATGCCGCGAAAAATAGCAACTAGTGCGCAGAAATGAACAGTTTCAGTTCTGCACTTGAAAAATAAGTTATTTTTAATCCAATTTGAGTTATTTATAATTTACGTGCATTAAATTCACATTTGAATTCTTTATTAAAACATTTTTGTCCTGCTGCAACTTTACCCCACCCATTTATAAGTGAACTTTGTTTTATTTATTCATTGGTATTACATTTAATTGCTACCCAGTTGAGTATTACATGATATTATAAAAGTAACCGATTGAACAATCTAGGGTGGTTAGATGTTATATTCTGTGACCTAATTGTTCCCCTTTGGAAATAATTGCTATGTACTAACTTTTAGAAAGACAGCCAAAGAAAGCGTAATACTAATGGTTTTCTCCATGATCAAACGAGTGCTTTATTAAACATTTTCAGTTTACCCAACTTGTTTTTTAGTAAACTGACCCTTAATTTCAAAACAAATCTCGTTCGGACGAATCTTTTCATCGCTATCATACGCCCTGAATCTTAAACGGATTGCATATCGGCCTTTCTGCAACGACACTCCACTGGCGAATTCACAATTGGCCTTATAGGTTTCGAATTGAATGACTCTCTGTAACCAAGGGTGTTAGCTGTATATATTGTATTCCGAATCATTCACTTCATCACTTACTCCTTTGACTCTAAAGCACGTGTCCTTTATGTCTGCCACATTTTTGATATGCTTACTATATGCCTCGTACCACACCTGTTTCTTGTCGAACATAACGCGGCAAAAGTCCTTGATCACCATGTTGAGCGTGGTCGGTTGCCAGGTGCCACGATCGAAGTACCGAACGCTTCCCAATAGCTGAAATAGAAAATTAAGTTGAATTGTATTTCTGGACACGTTTCCAAGGCAGTGAGCAAAGTGACGGATATTAATACCTCAACACGGTCTGATGGCTGAATATCCCACACGACGGTTTGGTTTCCCGAAATTGTCACTCCGTCTTCAGCCATTGAAAAGGTTAAATTTGAGGAGTCGAACAAATCTTCAATTTTGAGTGTTCCCGGCTCGTTTTGGCAGTCACTGTAAACACGCTCATCGTCAAATGCAAACTCGTAGTTAACTTCAATCGAATTTTGGATAAATGCCATCAGGACAAGTAGCTGCCATGTGCTAAGTAGCGGTTGGCTCATCTCGGGATTGGAAATCCGTGACTTGTAAATTGAAAGTGGGCCGCTGCTAACGCTATATATATAATTCAACGAATTTAATTTAATTATTATTTTTTAATCAGCGCTATTCAAAATTGTTTTCGGAAGTGGAGAACCTATAATTAAGCGCCTATTCTAGTTATATAAACCGACAACGTACAATTTCCCGATATCAATCTTCAAATTAATTGTACTTACAATATATATATACAATATATCTATACAATATTCTATACAATACATTATATAGAAAATAAAATAATAGATTAGAGATAACCTTGAAAGAAAACACTAAAAATACATTTGTGACTTGACATATATTTAATACAAATATGCACCTCTCAACGAGTTAAGCATGCCAAAAATGTTTTCTTTTAAGTTTAGTGCCAAAGAATAAAGAAGAAAAGAAAATGTGTTTGAAAATTTAAATATTTCTTCATTCTTCATTATTATTTTAAATATTTTGGTATTTCAATATTTAATTTTTTTGTATATATAATCAATGAATTGTATGCAACTTGCTTCTGAAAAAAATGTACAGCCAGATACAAGCAGGGAAAAAATATAGCCCACAATTCTTTAATATCATTAAATATTCTTCGCATGTTTTCTAATTTATAATTACAAATATTCTGTTTAAAAAAAGAAAAAAAAAATTGATTTTTTAAAGCGAAAATTGGCATTCCATATTTTTTCCATAATTGTAGTTGTGGGGAAATTAAGACTTATTGACTTTCCCAGGTTTTTCGGTTCTCTGCAAGTAATTAAAGGTAACAAAATCGATATGCGTTTCAATATGAAAATGAATCATTCACACCGTTTAAAAATTTCCTTTAACTTCGTAGCAGACATCAATTAAACGCTATTTGCCCTTCTGGTCAAAACAAAACATATTATACACTGAAACCTCGGTCGAAATAGAGTAGTCAGCTGAAATGAAAAACCAAAAATTTTAATTAGTAACCAGGTTTTGATCTTGCGTGCTGCAACAACCTCGATGCGATCCGATGACTGGGCATTAAGCACGGATGTCAGGTTTCCCGACACCAAAATCCCATCCTTGGCCATTGTTGTGCTAATTGGTGAGAGTTATATTCAGAGTTCCGGGTGAAACGTCCTGCAGTTGGTGTAGATTGATTCGTCCTCAAGGTGGACTACTTTTAATAATATTATTAACTCCAACTTCCAACATGTTATTCGCTTCATCTTTCAACTGAGCTCCAAATCAGCTTCAATTTTTGGTATGCATCCGCTTTTATGGCGCATTTCTATGGAGTTTTTAATAAATGAAAATAACACGTTGCTTCCCGCAAACGTATAATTTGCAGATTGATTAAATGACACTTATTACAATCATTTTGTGGGAAACCTGGTTCCAGGTATTTTTATTAGTTTATTCTTATTTCCATACCAGCGGATGTTTTGATGGGCAAATGTGATTAAATGTAATCTACTAAACCGTTACTAAGTTTCCAATTGATGGGTTTTGTTGGCAATGCTGCAGATTTATCTAGAAATCTTTTCACTTGGCCTCATCGTATTTTATATTGATTTTGTAGGCATAAATCAAATACTTCTCACACATATGAGTTGAGCAAGCAAACCAAGTTGTTATGTAATCCCTTTAATTGTAAGCAAAGCTCTCATGAAAGTTTTAAATATTAAATAACTGGCTTAGACCCAAACCTTTATTAACATAATCAACTATTAATAAATGATTACCATAGCAGAACACGAAGCCCCTGCCGACTCATGTGCAGTAATCCCCGACTGACCTCAACTACCAACCGCTGAGCTTTAAACGGGGTGCAGAGCTTGTTAGCCTGGTTTACACACTTCTGCGTGGCAAGGCACATTTGGTGTTTTATGGCTATTCGAGATTCGAGGCGGCAAGTCGCACCACCAGTAGATAACGCCCCTTGCTCAACACTTTGAAAAAGTTTAAATATAAATTAAAAAGTTTTCCCATTTTTTTGCCGTTTTTGCAGCAGCATGGCTAGTGTTGTTGTTCTATTTGGTATGTATTTTATGTTCATGCAAAGTGAAAAGTTTGCTGGACGACATCGAATCCAATGGCTTTCTGGTTTTCGGGAGGCACGGAAAGGGGAAAAGGGATACGTTAAAGGGTTAGGGTAAAGGGGGAAGGGTGACGGGGTCCAAACCCAACCGATCAGCCTAATGCCGCGGCAACTGTTTAGGCCATTTAATCCCCTACCAATTTCCGCACTTATTTCGCTGCCTTCAGCAGGCAATTTATGCATTTCTTCGGCCATTGTGCGCTGCTGGTATTTGCAATACATTATTGCTGTCAGATGAAGTTGTCCTTTTGCGAAATTAATTGCATCCTTTTTGTGGGCGGAGTAGTGGGCTGGTGGGCGAGGCTGTGGTCCTCTGGCCACAAGCAGACTTCAAGGCTGGCATTGTTGTAATATTTTTGTTAGCAAATGTGGTCAAACTTTGGCTGCCATAAAGGCGCAAACAAGTTTGTTTGGGTGTGCTTGTAAGTTTGCGGACTGGGGCTAGCCGCAAACATCTGACCGTAATGCAAACGCATTTGCTGCGTGCCACGCTCAAAGCCAAAGCGCCTGGAACCCGAAAATGCTGACCATCTCCATTGCTTCATCCTGCCAAAGGACCCCCGTTCGTCCTGCAGCCCCCTGCCAGCCCCGCTCTCGTCTATTTGCCGATCGTTAGCCAGCTTTGAAAGGCATCGCATTTGGCTGCTTGCGGCTTGCTTGAGGCACTCAACCTTGGGCTGCAGCTCCGAGTGCACTAAAAATCACTGAGTGTGTGTGCACTCGGAAAAAAGTTGTAGTGCCTAAGAATTAGATAAAATAATATTAAAAAAAAATCGCTCTTTTATATTTCAAAATTAGTTTATCAAGCTAGAAAAATTCTCCAATTTCCCAATATTTGTATGAAGTTTTAAAACATTTAAGTTTTTTACTTCTATTTTTAAAAGCAATTATTTACACACAATTAAAAATTTGCTTACGTACAAAACTATACTATACTATTAAAAATTTTCATATTTCCAGCTGAACCGAAGTTTTTCTTAGTGTCTGCTCTAAATGTAATCTTCGACTGCGGTCATATATCTCCTTTGCAGCGGCTTTTACTTTGCTTTGCTAGCTCTCACAAAAAAAGGGGAAATTAAGTTCAATAAAAGGAACATTCGTAATTTATTAGGGTGAACCAGTTGGTAACCAGCCTCCCCCATTTGGGCCATTCAATATTAAAGTTTTTGGCAGAAACCCACTTACTTTGCGAGTGCGAACTGCCATGTTGCTCGTTTCAGTTTTGATGGCACCGAGCAAAGTTATCATTTTGACAAGTTCTTAATATGCAATTCCATTAAGCTGCAACCAAAGTTGAACTGCTGGGCTGTCCCACTTTGCGATGCCATTCATTCGTTCATTTATTCGCACATTCAGTTTGCAGCGCATAAAAAAGCGGAAAAAGCGAGGGGAAGCATAATTGCATTTCGTGGACAATTAATTCCCTTTCTATTGCCCATTTCGTCGTAATTTAATTGCAAATTACTTCCCCTTTTATGTGTATTTGTAGACGTAATTGTAGCTTCATTTGCCTTCAGCTTGTGCCTGGACACGCAAGGCGCTCCCAATTGGCCAAGACAAGCGCCGCTTTTGGCCAACTTTGTTGGCCGTCCGCCGCTCGGCATTCAGACTTCAGCATAAAGCATTCGGTGCCGAATTGCCAAAGTTTCACGCAGCAGTAAATTCTGGAAAATTGCATGTGAGCTGCTGCAACTTTGCTCGGTGGTCACACGAAAATTTATTATTAAAATTCACTCCGCTCCGTGGAAAACCGGAGACGAGAGCCACTTGAGCAGAACATTGAATCTCATTTGACAATTCCGTTCTTCTATTTGTTTTGTGTTTCTCTCCCGTTTGCCCGCTTCTGTGTTTTGCATAATTCGAAGCAAAGTAACTCCAACAGAGTGGAACGATAGAGGGAACCTTGGGAGTGGGTGCCCTGCAGTGGGAGTGGGTGGGAAATGGAAAATGGGAAATCGGGCTGGGTGGCAAGGGCGCTGGTCAGCTGGGTGACACGAATCAAACAAAAGCGTCAACTTTGCGCAGAGCAAATGAAAGCGGAAAGCCGGATTGTTGAAGGGGCGAGGTTGCTTTGCTTACATTGCCAACAAAGTAGAAAATCCGTAAGAATAACACAAAATTCTCGGCTCCTCTCCGTTCCGCTGGCTCTGTGTTTTTGGACCCACTCCCTGTACTTCGATTATCCTGCGACGTCTTTCCTGGTGATTGTGGCACCTGAAAACGAGGGGAGGAACGGCAAACGGGGCGTCATGTGGCACAGACAAAGTAAGCGCCCCAAGCTGCAGTTTCCAGCTGCAACTGCACTCAGAAAAAGGTACCTCCATAACAATGCCAAACATCTTACTTTTCCAATTTGATATTAAGTCATTTTAATTTACATTTTAAAACATATATGTATTTTTAGAGGTGTAAATTATTTCTGATAATTTAACTTAAGCAAGCCATCCAAGTAATCGGCACATTTTCTTGCCGCGTCTTGTTAATATAGTTCTTCAAGGAGTTTTTATGTTTGGTCCACCTTTTGGCGCAGTGCATTTTTGGCTCTGCTGCTGCTTCATCAGTGGCAATTGTTTAGCTGCGCTTTCTTGGCCATTGGATTCATTTGAAATTTATGCAAATTAAGTGCGGCACACAGCAGCAAAGGCAGAAAAGGCAGCGGCGCAGCAGCGCAGCAGACTGCAGTTGCATAATCCTTGGAGCGCAAAGGATTTACACTTTTGCTTTTGCCAGATAATTATCTTAATTGCAATTTTCGCTGCTCTCTCGACTCGACTTCCTGCTGGCTAAACGGGAAATTTACAATTTAATTAAAGCTACGCAAAATGTTGCCAGCTAAACCAATTAGTCTTTCGGTGTGTGAGTGCAGTTAGCATAACAAATTAAATGGCAATTAATTTGCGAACGCTTTCCAAAT